CTATCAGAAGTGTTTGGCTTGTGTTGGGTCCGACTTGGCTCGGGCTGTCAAAATCAACTTAAACATCACAGATGTAACATCAAATGTGTTTACATCTATAGACAAGTATTATGTCTACCTAAATACCACTTTATAGTGTCTCAGATCGCGGTATTTAAAGAAAACGAGGAGCTCAAAGTGAAGCTTCTGTGTGTAATCGGTTTAATTGTACGGTATACATTGTAGACAGACAGACAATAATTTATTAATGTCTCACTTCTGTACACACATAAAATAGCTTTGTACAAATAAACATTGATAGAATGTACAGAACCATTGACAGCTAGTGATTGAGCCGTGATTGCTGCCAAGGGCGGTCACACGAGATACTGAGTTCAGCGCACCCTTGTGGCCTTATGTGACGTGACAATGAACAGTTTTCAATGCCTTTGTATAACGACAACATGTGACTATCGAGCTCCAAAGTTTCATATTTGTATCTATGATATTAAATTAAATATATCGACTCTATTAGGTTCAATAAATTTACTAACAAATCTACCTTTTGCGCACTGTATGTGTAGTATAGAGCTTTATCAAGCTTGATCTTGCAATGCTGTACATCGTATCTTATTCAAGCTGTATCACTGAGAGTGAGTGATTATCTCCCTTACCCGAATAGCTCTTTTGCGCACTACCTTTGTAATGTATCGTATGTTATTCAGGCAGCCAGCGAGAATGGTTCCAGGGAGGAATTAAGGTCAAGCATGTAACGCGCACTCAGTCGTTCTCCCTTCACACTGCTATTGCAAATTATTGTTCAACACGATTAAATACCAGGCTTCTATGAAGCATGACTTTGTTCAATAAACAACACATGTAAAACAACGGGTTTGATATCAGATATTTGTAATAAGTTGTCTTCACAATCACATGTATGGTGCTTGCTGTGCAGATTTGAGCACAGTTTCAAGTAGTTCACTGTATGTAAAATATGATTCATACCGTTTCATACGGCGGTTTATGGTTCTGCATGGTTGATTGTATTGACAGTTGTTTTAACTTCCTGCAGAGATTATACACCTGTATAATATCTTTGCTTCTGGATACATTGGAAATCAACATGTTGGCCCTTAGTTTTCAATTATTCTCCTGAAAAATAATTCGGTTGCATGATATATTCACTATGTTTGGCTTGAACATAGTAACATTCTTCTAAACATACTTCAAATTTAAGCCGGCAGTAATCACAACACCAACCCAGTTAACCAAACGGAACCGTACACAAGAGTAGTGAGTGAGTGAGTTGGGTTTAACGCTGCTTTGAATAGTATAATTCCAGTTATATCACGGCCTGTCAGCTTGATGTGGAAGGAAAGCCCGAAGTGATGCAGGTATTAGACATTCACCACTTTGGTGAAACCCATGACCACGGGTATAGTGCTGACAACATAATTGGGGCGAACCAGGATTCGAACACACTGTCATAGGTTTCTGGCGTGCCCAAGGGACACTACTCTGCATAGCAAATTGCAGCGCAAACGACGACTTTGGCCAACCTTGCCCTCGTACACAACTGTAACAAACTATCATACAACAAAGATGTTGAAGATGAGATATGTATTGCGTAACTGCCCGACTTTTAGGCAATCCCGTTTACAAGCTGTGATACCGTCAGCTGCTTCACTGGAAGAGGAAAGGTTTCAGCCCTCCGGCTCCTCACCAGCGACGTACACAGCAACATATTGACTTGCGTAGGCACAAGCTGGAACGTTTCACCACAGCTGTTCAAGGCACTAGAGTCACAAATGTGCTGCCTATACAGCACAAGGACACTTATTGAGAAGTGAATTGCGGTTCAACCTGTTTTGCGCAAAGAAAAAGGAAGCTGCCAAGATTTAACTTCCATTTTCTTTGCGCAAAACAGGTTGAACCTTACGCCTCTTCACCACAGAACCATTGCAAGAGGGACAATTATCAAGTATGGAAAAGGAGCATGGAGGCTTTTCCTGTTGGTCATTGTTGGAAGGAGGAGGGTTGGGCCTTGGTTATTGACTGGGGGGGGGGGGGATGCACCACCTGCTCCTGCGACAGTGTTGGAATTGGTTGCTGCATGTAACTGTTTAAAGAAGGGCTGAGAGGAGAGCTGTACCTGCCTTCAGTATAACATGAAATAAACATACCTTTACAAATTACAGACATGTAGCAATCAGCAAGTTAAGGACGAGGTTGAATTTGAAGCGAGTGATGTTGATGATGAGTAATCAACAGTGTACAATGAAGACTCATATGTGACCACCCTTGTTTCGGTCTACAATAATCAAGACATAAGTTTCTAATGCTAATGTGATAAAAATAGTTTTTGTGTCTAATTGTTTGATCTTATCAAATATTAATATTCATTATGCAACAGATAACTGCATTTTATGTTATTGCGGTTAGCATATCAAATTTGACCCCAATTTGACCTTCAGTTTAATCTTGTGAGCCCAAAAAACAGAACAATGTATCTTCAAAACAACTTCTGACTACATCCAGCACATGGCCTTTATAATTTGGAGTTGAGAGTTATAAATTCATGTGAACTTATTTCAAGCAGCCCAACCTCATACAATTTTACATCTTTTTAGCGCATGATGACATTCGTTTTAAAATGTACCAAAAACCGTTCTGTACCACACCATAAAAGATAATAGAGTTCCTTTTATCAGACTTTAAACAGAATAAGGTACTGCTTGGCTTCTATCATAGCCGATTTGGGTTAAGAAAGTCCCATTGGTGTGGCATCTGCAATATATTTTCTGGTAGGTGATAATATTTTAAGCTGAGGTCAAATGTTGTGACCTTTTGACCTCCGGTGACCTACAATTTTACTGTATTAGTCCTATATTACATACCAACATGTAGACATCAGGCTACCAACATTTTGAGTGGTCATACTTCACCATATGACTATTGTTTGTAAAGTTATTCCACTTTCTGGTTTCCCCTACCCTGAAATCTAGTCCCGTGGATTCGACTCTGGGGTCCCCCTTTATCTGGTGATTACTACCACTTAGCTGTAAGTTCTGGATTGCTTTCAAAGGGTTTTTTCATCTATGGATATATGACTTTCAAAAAATCATACTGAGATTTTGCCACCCCAGGTGGTACCAATATCTGGTCTGGCTCATGGACTAAGAGGATCCTATGCTTAAAGATATGGTTAGGGCGCTAGATGAAGACTTTTCCAGGTTGACATATGCACTGTCGTTCAAAGCGCAAAAGTTCAACTGTATCTCTACGTTTGTGGGGGTCGAAGATGAGGGTGAACATCTCTTGTGCCTTGTACGTGAACTACAAGTTTTCATCCAGCACTCCAAGATTAGGCATGGTTCACGGGAACAGTTATTCATACCAAAGACATTTGCAGCTCCATTCTGGGGTTACTCGCAGTCATCCTGCAGGCTTCTGAGATCACTAACCTTGATCCACCGAGAGCGAACAGTCCTCAACCATGGCTCTACACAGCAACTGTTCTGTTAAAGCAATCGTGGAAGGATGTTTTTGGAGGTCCGACACAGTTTTCGCCAGCCATTATCTTTGGGACGTGTCACTCAAAGACGTTGAAGGACTTCGTAGCTCTTGCCCTCTGATTGTGGCCCAGCAGGTCACCAACCCCAACAGAAATAATGAACTCTTCCTGTCCAGAGCCAGTCTTACCCAACCCGTGCAGTCTGACACGCCCAAGAGGGAGACTTTAAGCTTTGGCTTTGTAAAGATTTTAGCTTATGCTGATCTTCCAATTCACCACTTGTTTACTTGGACTTTTGCTCAATTCTCATACACATGCTCTGAATAGAATAAGATTAGACCAGCCCTACTGTACGATGTTTTGTGATATTCGCAATACAGTTTCCTTGACAACTTGTCGTTTTCAAGAAGATTTTATAATTATTGAGGTTTTTTACATCTGAAGGAATACCCACCAACATACTGTCTTATACAGATGCATTGAGGATTAATACAGGACAAATAAAAAAAATTGTAAAATCTAAATATCTTTTTACATTTGTACTTATGTAGCGGCCATAAAATTTCTGAGTCCCGTGATGGGATTCGAACCACGGACCTTCTGACCGACAAGGTAAGTATGTCATCTGTGGGATGACTCCACACCCTGCCACATACTCCCCCATCAATAGAAGGCACCTCCCGGGCCGCAAAGTAGTGTACTGAGGCTTATTTTTGCTCAAATTTAATATGAACATGCTCAGCCCCTTGTTGGGCGCCAATGTAGCTGCCATAAAATTTCCGAGTCCCGTGATGGGATTCGAACCACGGACCTTCTGACCGAGGTCAGACGCCTTGTCCACATGACCAAAGAGGTTAACCCCGATGCAAGCTGCCAAGGTAAGGATGTCATCTGTGGGATGACTACACGCCCTGCCACACTTATCCTGCATAACTACGTCTAAGGGCCCACTTGTCGCAGACTTGCCTTCCCACTCTGGCTTCAGAAAAATCATTTTGATAGGGTAATGAGCAGGAATGTGAATTGGTTGTGAAGTCAAGATCTGTAACATGACAGTGGCGAAGGGTCCTGCAAAAAGTAGACTGAAGATGGAAACAACATTCTTCTTCAGGACCATCACGAAGCACTGTCTTTCTTTGTCATAAGGTAAGCCATAGATGCATTAAGGAGTAATGCAGGATAAGTATACAAATGTAGAAGATATTTTAGATTTTACAAATTTTGACCTTGTTTTGTTGTACTCTTCAGTTCTCTCAAAATGCTGGACAGAGGTAACTGAGGGCATGTATGTTTCTCCTGATCATGACCTATATTATGAATATTTTTACAGTTTAGTATTTATGCAGAAAATATTTCAACATTAATGTTGACAGCAACATTTGTTAACTGTCTGTCTTTGTTGAAATTGTATTCTGTTGACAATATGTCCTGGAGAGCTACAGTGCCTTGCCTCTATTTTTTTGTTTCTTCTTTGTAGCAAACCTAATGACATTTCTTTTTTTTTCAGGAGTGTCTGCATGTTGTATTGCACTAGCAGCTTATCAGTGTGGCAAGGAGGATGTGTCTATCTACGATGGGTCGTGGACAGAGTGGTATCTACGTGCCCTGCCCAGCGACAGAGCCAACTGTCCACAGGAGTAGTCAGTGTCTTAGCTTCACGACAAAAGACTGAGTATCAAGTGGCCATCCGTCAGCCTCGACTGAACATGGTTGCAAGACGGTTTTATCACTCATATGATGTTTAGTACACAAAAAGGAAACTGACAAAATCATAGTGTCATAGTGTCTATCAGTCTGTTTTATGGTTTGGGGTGAATTAGTCATCTTTACAGCAGGCTAAGACACAGTTGGTGCTGATATACTATTTATTTTGTTCAAGTTACAATGGTGAACAAACAGATATACATTGGAAACACAGAGAGTCTGTACATCATCCTGGGTGGTTCGAGAATGAATCTGTGATCCATTCCTTAGTTGAGACGGCAGGGCTCAAGATAATTTTTCAGCATCAGGAGTTCGTACTCCTCATTATTTCAATAAAGGAGTACTGGCAAAACTGAAGAGTACACTTGGAATACTGAATGGTATTTAATGGATTAATCTTATATTTTTTATTTTAGATAGGCACCACAGCATTGCCACTCTCGTGTAAACAGGTCAATAAACAATAAATAATACTTATTTTCGTGGATGGTTAATATATAATGTGCTCCCAACTCTAGGGTATTCAGTATTATTTTTTGGGGAAAAAACAAGTATTATGAGCAGAAATTGTTTACACCGTATCCCTTCAACAAAGTCAGGTAAACGAACAGGTAATATCAAACTTAGTCAATACAAATTTGAAATTTGAGATAAAACATCACTAGAAATGAAGATTTACTGTTTAAATTGTATTTGCAGTTCTACTAGGTATTGTTTTGTATTTAGAGATTAGGATTACCGTGTGTACTTTCTCCTAAACTAAGCCGGAAACAAACCTTTTCTCACAATGTACCGGTGACTCGGTCCAAAATTTCCCAATAATATACTTTAAAGAATTTTAATGCAATGATCGGAAGAATTACTTTATCATGAATGATATATTCCAATGTCGTGTTATTTTAATTGCAGTTTTACTATATATACTTAAAATGATATTAACCAACTTTGGTACAGCTGATTGCTATTGCCGGATATTTTTTACGTACGGAACAATATAACCAGTCACCGTTGAGGCTCTCGCATTCGTACTCACAAAAACTCTATGTTGACATATAACAGGCAATTTAATTTTTTTTATGTATACTGCATTACTCCTTAATGCATTTACTGCCTACCTTACCTTACCTGTGATGTATTCCTTTCATATTACTATCACTGTTGTGTGTATTAATAAGTAGGTGATTTTCATGTGAAAAGACGTCTTTTTTCCCACCATGTGGCTCGTTGTTTCTGCAATTTTGAATTTGTTAACCTTCCAAGGTAGTAAAGTTGTTTGCAATTCGTAGCTAGGTATTTTTAACATGCTTATGTTTATTTAAGATACCTGTAGCTTTTGCGTTGCATGAAGTTTTCTGTGTATCTTTTCTGTGTATATACTTTCAAACTCATAATTTTTTTGCCGATCAATACATGTAACATTTCATCGGCAATCTATCCAATCTGTATTTATCACAACTCTCTATTTGCGTAACACTCACAAATGTATTTTGCAGCAGTCTCGTCATGTTGCAAGGAGGATGTCTCGGTCGCAGGACGCGATCGACTCACAATCTTCGGTTATTACCACCCAACATTTATCTTCGGGTGGAGCTATGTCTGTGTGATAGTGACTGCCGACATTCTCTCTCCTCCAGTTTCTATGATATCGGGCGCTACTGTGAGTATTGCACCTTCTTCAAATTTTGAGGCATCCATGGCTTCCACTGTGACGGTTCCAGCAACACCGGCGCATGCGTCTTATGACGCTTCTACTGGGCTAGCACACACACAAACCACGATCCAGCCAACATATATGGGCGTCTCTTCACAAGGGCTTGTGCCTAGCCCCCAGGCACTTCTACAAATTACATCAGCCTCAGGGCTTGCAGCGTACCCCATTATGTCCGCAACACGTGATAAGCTTAGCGCTGTACCACCTGCCTTCCTGGCAGCGCAGCAGATGTGCGCTCAACCATCTGCCTATGTACCAGACTCCAGTGTCAGGAACAACATGTACGCAGCAGACTACTCATGCCTCAATGTCTACACCGGCGTCTAACGTTTACCAAATGCCAGATGCGTGATCAGTCTTAACGCATATGCCTTCAGTCGGCGCCAATACCCCATCTCTACGTGGAAATCGTTGCACGAGTCTCTTTCACCAACAGCAGAAGTCATTCACCTATGAGGAGAGTGCGTCACCATCATTCCCTTTCTTCGGACTGATCAATTGGCCAGGATGGAGATTTTTCATTGAATGGAATACTCACCTTAGCCTAGTGCAAATGTGTCTTGTGTCAGTAGCGCCCTCCCCTGGTGATGGGGTTGATAAGAAAGATACCATATGGTAACATCCCTCATCGGTTCCTGTGTATCCTTTGTTGAAGGATATGTTTAGAGCATTGGACGAAGACTCTATAAAACTTATGTTTGCGCCTTCATTCAAGACAGCAAAATTTAGGAAAGATGATTTTCCTACACATGCACACATTTTGGACGAGGATTTACAGACGATGACTGAGTTTTCAAGACCAACCATGCTCAAAGTCCAAGAGGCCAGATTTGCGTTCATTGAAACGGAAATCAGGCGCATATTCAAACCTTCGTCAGCACTGGCATCTTCAACCCATGCAATGGATCAAGATAGTCAACCCGAAACGTTTAGACCATTTTCAGATTGGTAGACTTCCAACAACGTCAGAGTGACCACATTAGCAACCACCTCCGAGCTGCACTAGCGGAGGTTACCATTACGTGCCTGGTTATTTAGCACTTTCCAGCTGGGAATCCGAGTTTATGCACAGGCTCCTAAGTCAACCTTGGTCAGCTAGCGGATTGTTCAATGATGCACGCTAAGGTCTCCAATTACCTTAGGGACAAGACCCCGCTCAAGGCATTGGAGCATGTATCTCAGAGTTTCTCCCAGCAGGCATGCAGGTTGGGCAACTATAAACCAAGTCGCTCTTCTCTCAAAGAAGGTCAAGGCCAGGATTCTTTTTGAGGCAGAGAGTGTGGCAGAGGTAAACCTCAAGACTCTTATTAATCCCGCCGTGGTAAATTGCAGGGCCAGGGACAGCCATGACTGTGAACTCCCAAACCCAGTCGTCCCAGTCGTCAACACCCTAGGATGTGGGAGACTGAACCAGTTCTGGGAGAACTGGGCCATACTAAAGGACGTCTTCGTACTCAACATACCACATTACTGCCTCCGATTGACCTTTCAGGCAGTTCCACGGTTAACCACAGCTTGAGAATCTTGAGAATACCCAAGGAAGCAACATCTGCTACTAAAATCCAACAGACATCTTGTTGAAGAAAAGAACTGTAGAGATTATAAACGCCAGCAGCGCTAACACCAGGGTTTTACTCTCCCATGTTCCCATTACCCAAGAAGGACTCAGACAAGATGCAAATGATTCACAATCTCTCCATGTTCAACGAACATAATCTGGAATATCCACCATATTACCACCTCATAACGTTGAGACTGCTCAGAGGCAGCATCAATGTGTTCGACTCCTTGATCAGTCTCGACTTGCAGGATGTATACCTGCATAAATCTATCCATCCCTCCGACTGCAGATTCATCAGATTCCAGTTCAGTGTGGTTCACTACCAATGGGCAGTCCTGCCATGTGGCATTTCAGTGGCCCTGTGGCTATTTACACAGATAATCAAGCCTCTAACTGTGTTTCTACACCTGAGGAACATTTGGTTTGAGTCGTACATAGACAACTGTCTCCTGTTTCATCAAGACACACTCACGCTAGTATGCCACCAGGATTTTACTAAACAGCTACTATCCTAGTTGGATTGATAATCAACAAGACCTGTCTCCTCTGCATCAATCACACACACTTTGCCAACGGCAAGTGTTACTGTGGTTACTAACTTCAGCGCAAGATTTAACAAGCAGAGGCCACCTACCACTATGTCCAATCCAACAATTCCTGAATCCTTACATCAGGCGACAGGATCCACTCAAAGCCATCACTCTACCAGTCCATCTAACGCCATACCTCAATTGGTGGACGATAGTCTTAGGTGGAGACTCCTTATCCGGGTTAACCCCGAAACCACATCTGTTTGTAGACGCCTCCCTTCAGGGGTGGGGTACTCACTTACAGGGCCAGACAACCTCAGGGCTGTGTTCCAGCGCTCAACAAACATGACACAAAAACAATCTGGAGTTGGAAGCACTCATTCTGGCCATTTCACATTGGCAGAAACAGTTACAGTCCACACAACACAAACAACACAGACAATCAGGGGACTGCACACTCCCACTCCCAACAGACATTCAGATTCTTCCATCTAATGGATCGTCTGAAACTACAATTTATAGTTCTGCATATCCCCAGATGTCAGAACATACTGGTCGTTGCCTTATCCCAACCAGACAGGGTGGCTCCCAATAAGTGGAAACTTCACACAGGCATCTGCAGGCTTTGGTGGTAGTCATATTCAGCATCCCCTTGGTGATACAAAAGATTAAAGAGACAAGCAACCTTGCTCTGACTTTGATCGCCCCATGATGGCCAGCGAGGGGGTGGTTTGTCAACCACAGAAATCGTGCAGAAAACGATCCTCTGTCCCTCCCAGATTAGTCCAACCTACTCATCCACCCTCACAGCCTAATTGCATCACCCAGGGCCAGTCAGATTTCATCTTCATGCTTGGTTCGTCTTTAAAAGACGTTAAGTTCTAAGGGGTATTTGGCGCAGGCTGCCAAGGCTGTTGCATTAGCGCATGTTCCTTCTACCAGGGATTTATATGATGACAAGTGGGGATCATTTGAAACATCATCATCAAGATCCTACGACAGCGTCACCACAATTCTTAGCCGAATACCTCCTACACTTGCATACCAAAAGACACTTGAAGGGTAACACCATTACTATGTATTTGGTTGCACTCAATTCAGTGTTGGTCGTTCCAGAGAATCCTAAGATGACCAAGGTCGTTTAGGCTTTAAGAGTAATGCAGGATAAATATACAAATGTAATTTTTTATTTTATTTTACTAATTGTAACAAATATGACTTTTAACGAGGCAAAGTATGGTATTTATGATATATGTTTCCATTCTCTGTCAACTAAAGTTTGTTTCAAGGCGTCAATAACGGTTATCTGACTGTGGTTGCTGTAAATCACGGTGAGTTGTGCAATCTACCGATCCCTTCACAAATGAGTTCTCCAAAATTAATGTGAGAATATTGAAATCAAATGTTGAATATAATTATTAAAATATGTTGCAAACATAAGTCCAGATAAACAATAAAACCTTTTGTAACCAGGCAGTGTAATTACCTGATGCTTGTGGGTTTCACCGAAGTGGTAAACGTCTGAGACCTGCATCACTTAGGGCTCTCCTCCCACATTAAGCTTACACGCCGTGATATAACTGGAATAATGTTAAAAGCGGCATTAAACCCAACTCACTCACTCACTTACTATTGACAGGACACATATGCCTCAGTTGTTAGCTAAAGGGGCGTTCATGCTATACAACTAGTTGGTACAACTTGTATGCAATGAGTTGTTCGAAATTAATTTGTATTTCAATGCAGCACTGCGACATCATGTGAGAAGCTTGGGAAATAGTGATTCAGTACATTACTGCTTGAACCCTGACTGCCGAGTTAATTTAAGATTCTCATAATTCCCACGAATACAAAACCTGTGTCACATCATTGACAAAAATCCTGTATTTCGGCTGTCTTCACACTATAACAATCTTCAGTATTTCACCAGAAGTCCTCTTCACTGTCAACTATTCAAAAATTGTTGAGATAATAATAGTATCTCCCTTCCCAAGCCTCTTGCGCATGCATAACATGGGAATTATCATAGTTTTTATCCCCCATCACAAAGTGGAAGGGGGATATTGGAATGGGTGCCGTCTGTCCGTCCTTCATCCCTCCATCCATCCGTCCGTCCTTCGTCACATTTCGTTTCCGGAGCAGATCTTCAAAACCGTACCATATTTCTTCACCAAACTTGGCACATAGATAGGTCTAGTGGTGAACTGGTGCCTTTTGATAGTTTGGGATTTTAATTTTTTAAATTTTTCGAGTTTCCATGGCAACGACTTTGACTTAGGCTGAAAATGGCGGTAGTCCTCTTTTCGGAGCAGATCTTGAAAGCCATACCATATTTCTTCACCAAACTTGGCACATAGATAGGTCTAGTGGTGAACTGGTGTCTTTTGATAGTTTGGGATTTAAAAAAAAAATATTTTTCGATTTTCCATGGCAACGACTTTGATTTAGACTGAAAATGGCGGTAGTCCTTGTTTCCAGAGCAGATCTTGAAAACCGTACAATATTTCTTCACCAAACTTGGCACATAATGTCATCTCGCAGTATTGAATACATTTACTTTCTTGTTGGTAAGTTCTGCATTGCTTGAGTGTATGTTCCTCCAAAAGTGTCATGGACACGGTTGTTGCATTCACTGACTAACTTCACGCAGAAACACAACTCATTACAAATACAACAGTGTAACTGATCTTAAACCTACTCAACTGTATAAATACTGCCTCCTATCCTGTATATATTCTTGTCAACCATACTCTGTACTTCACTTGCTTGATAACAGTGTTAGAACATACACCGAAACCATCCTCTTAATTGTAATAAAGAAGTTGTTCGTCCATATGTGTCATCCTTACTATTTACAAATTTAGTTACATATTCTATCATAAACTGCAGATGGCAAAACAACACCAGTAATAACTTTTTTAGGTGCTGCAATTAGGCCATTAACAAAAAGGAGCTAATACATTGAACACAACTGGACATGTCATATTGGCAGCGGATATGAGTATTTCATGCTTGTTTTATTGGTAGTTGTAACACTATATTATTAAAGCTTGTATCTTCAGTACCCATGAAGATCCCGGTTAGAATTGGTCTTCCCATGGTCAACCCATGCTTGCTGTAAGAGGCGACTACCGGGATCGGGTGGTCAAGCTCGCTGACTTGGTTGGTTGCTGATGCAAGTCATCGTTTCCCAATTGCGTAGATCGATGCTCATGATATCAATCACTGGATTGTCTGGTCTAGACTCGATTATTTACAGACCGCCGTCATATAGCTGGAATATTCCTGAGTGTGGCGTTAAACAACAAACCAACCAGCCTGTTTAAAGGTGAACTTTTAATTGTAATTTGCATTTTAGTTTGTCCCATGTTTAACCGAGTCTACCGAGCAGACCCGTCCTTGTTTTAGCCCCTTCATGCCGAACCTATGGCAGGGTAAATGCAAGTACTATCTTTTACCGCCTTTTGGTTTTACGCGACCAGGGGTCAAACCCCAGACCTTCCGCTCTACGGGTGAAGGCTCTTCCACTAGAGGGGGCACGGGTGGCCCAGTCGTCTAAGGCGCCGCGATTCGCTGTGCAGAGTTGCGTCCCTTGGTCACGCCAGAAACCTATGATTGTGGTTTCGAATCCCGGTTCGCCCCGACTATGTTTCTAGGTTTGTCAGCACCATACCCGTGCTCTTGGGTTTCACCGGTATGACTTAGGGCTTTCCTCCCACATTAAGCTGACACGCCGTGATATAACTGGAATACTGTTAAAAGCGGCGCTAAACCCAACTCACTCACTCACTCACTTTTCCACTAGACCACGGAGGCGGCCAGGAAATATAAACATGCTGTGGATAATATTTGAGATCCCATTCCAGCCACAACTTCTAACACACTGGAGTTCATCTTCTCGGTGTATTTTTCGAAGTCGTTCAAATTAAAGATAAGATGCTGTGTGGTATGATGTGCGACGCATCACGCCGACCTGTTTGTCCCAGTTTTCAGGAGGCCGTATCTTTCCATCCACGTCCGGCATGTCATTATGTCACTGTCTTTGAGACGTGACAGCTGATGTATCACATTATGTAGGGGTACTTGTAGATTACACACAGACGAAGTGCACTATATACAGTGGCGTGAGGAGCGTCCAGCCGACGCCATGTTGTAACATGACATTGTGAAAAATTGAAAGACGTTTGGTTATGCCCATGAAAATAACAATTTATTCTGAAGAGACACCGTCGTTGGGTAGAATCATGACCCACCTCGATAACATAACTCTCTTGTTCAAGACAATGGTAAATCGACTGAATACGAACAGCATGTGAGCCTGGTTTGATCACTGATATGTTATATGGGACAAGGTGGAAGGGGGTTCTTGTACCAACAACAGGCACCAGTAGTATGATAGACATTCCTAAACATGAGATCAATGTGGTATGTAGTTGGGGATATATGAAACAGAAGTAGTTCGTCTAACGTTTTACTCCTACGCAGACCCGTGAAGATTCCGGGGTAAAATAGGTCTTCAGCAACCCATGCTTGCCGTAAAAAGGCGACTATGCTTGTCGTAAGAGGTGACTAACGGGATCAGGTGGTCAGACTCGCTGACTTGGTTGAAGCATGTCATCGATCCCAATTGCGTCGATCGATGCTCATGATATCAGTCACTGGATTGTCTGGTCTAGACTCGATTATTTACAGACCGCCGTCATATAGCTGGAATATTGCTGAGTGTGGCGTTAAACAACAAACCAACCAACCAACTCATACGCAATTCTACATGTCTGTTACCTCCCGTGAAGGCGCTTTATAACTCGGGCCATGTACCTTTAAACCTGCCAACAAGGGTATCCCTTCTTCGATCATCTTGACAATTCAAGTATGGATGTTTTGTTACCGTCACTTTGTGTCGATTGAATCCATGCTCACTCTGAGACAATATAACAGGAACCGACTGAATCACCCGCCCACAGATACAAACAGAACACATGTACAGTCGGAGTAGCCAGAGAACAGTCACATGCCATTCCACTCAATAATAATAAGTCTTCGCTACCGAAGTCTTCATTTCAATAAACCACAACCACTATGTCCAACATCCCATTTTAACAAACCGCAACCATATCTCCAATACTGTATTATATCAAGCAATCGATTATTTGCTTTTATTGAAAGGCTCATAGTATACAATATTTTCAAAACTGATGGGTGGTCTCGGGGTTATTAATTACATCTGTTCTGTTCAACATTGCATGAGGTCAAACAGATATATGGATAGAGTACATTAATGCTATATATCTATTCATCTTCAGGTTTACAAAGAAGTATTTGCCGATGTATTTACGACGGATAGTATCGTATTTGGGGCAAATTAGAAGGAAATACTTCTGTTCGATACATCCTTTCTTTTCTATCCATTCCTATTTCGTACAAACGTTTATGGGAACTACATCTAAACTAGGCTTATGCGACGTGTTTATCCAAACGTACTATGGTAAGATAGGCTTCAGTACAGATATATAACTTATTTGGGAATAAGAGAGGCATTTCCTTGAAACCATCAGGGATGCTGTCCACTTTTGCAAGTACATTTATTATAATGTCTGCAGTATTGTGGACATGAAAATATTTGGATTTTATACAGACTTATCATTGTAAACATATCCATAGCCACAATTTAGTTTTGAAGTAATTCTTTAGTGCGATGCGCCCAGTTGCAGTTACCTTGTTTTTCATATATCATAACATTTCCTTGGTGGCCTATTACATGGTATTTTTATAAGCTTAAAAAAATATCCAGTAGCCAGGATCACCCATCCACAAAGCGATCTTAGCCTTCGAAGACCGTAAGCCTTCCTTAAAGTAAGTGAGTTACGATCAAATTAGCGCTTGGTCGATTTGTGGAACGGGCCCAGGCGTGCCTGGAAGCAAACGTGGAAGCAAACTTGGACGTATGTCTGTCTGGTCGTTGGGGTCGGGTGTTGTGCTCCCTCAACCGGTTGCGTACGCCTCTGCCACTAATTGGTCTCAACCCAGGATTTGTCCAAGCCCTTAATGTGTCAGTTTGGTATCAATTCCGTTGATGCAGCAACCTAATGTGGTTGTCTCGTTGGCGTGACGTGACGTCAATCGTGGACGTCATGAGTGCTGCCCTGCTATAGATAATGTCACCAAAGAGATGATCTTTAGTTTCGATCACCATCAAAATGTCTGGCAATTTCGTTTTGCGTCATTCCTGTTCACAGCTTAACCAAGGCGCGTAGACGTTTATTTTCTCTTTTTTTAGATCACATGGTAGCTTATCAGTCATTGTGTGCTGTTCACATAAAAAATAACACGTGTGTGAGTATCATGCTCCCAAACAAACACGCAAAAATCCAAATTGTGCGCAGAGCTTGAACATGCGGGTTCAAATTGTGAATAATGGCGAGATGTCTTCATGAATATGTATTGAAAGCTACATTATTTAAATTCAGAACAAATTATTTTTTATTGAACTTTATATATATTCCGTTAGAAAATATGAGTATATATACATAGGAAATCGTCCACACTCTCCATTTACCACAATGTTTGGAGTACTTGCTACAAGCAAGAAATACTGCGTTTATAGGGGGTTTCAAAATCACTAATGCATCTGAGTTGAGCTAACTCTTAAAAATGCCTCCGAGACAGTATCTCAATGAACAGACAAAATTTTCGAATTGTGGGTACGATAGAGGCTAGGACGTCCATATCCAAGTTGCCCGAATGTTTGGCGAATCAAAAAGTGGACTTTCTGGACTGGGACAAGTACCGTCAAACGGGTGGGGTTGCAATGAGACCTGGGCGTGGCAGGCCTTAAAACCGTCACCCAGACTAGATCGTCTTATTACATTAATTGCGCTACGCAATAGCTTCAAATCTGCTCAAGGGGCACGGGTGGCCCAGTCGTCTAAGGCGCCGCGATTCGCTGTGCCGAGTTGCGTCCATTGGGCTCGCCAGAAACCTATGATTGTGGGTTCGAATCCCGGTTCGCCCAGATTATGGTTCTAGGTTTGTCAGCACCATACCCGTGCTCTTGGGTTTCACCGAAGTGGTAAACGTCTTAGACCTGCATTACTTCGGGCTTTCCTCCCACATTAAGCTGACACGCCGTGCTATAACTGGAATACTGTTAAAAGCGGCGTGAAACACAACTCACTCACTCACTCAAATCTGCTCATGTTATCAATGGAGAATTCCAGGAAGACGAATTTCCACATCTACGCCTAAAAACTGGTTTTATGCAGCCCGCCTGAACGCAAGGCTTCCTGTGAAGAGTGTGACCCTAACAGCTTACCACAGATAGCAAAGATTGGGGTTGACAGGGCAAAACCAGGGACAGGATGTGCGCCAGTGGCGTTACACCATGTTGACAGACGAATCACACACATATCTCACGCACGCCATTATAACATACCACAACCCCTATCTCACGCACGCCATTATAACATACCACAACCCCTATCTCTCACACGTCATTATAATATACCACAACCCCTATCTCTCACACACCATTATAACATACCCAAACCCTATCTCACACACGCCCTTATAACATACCACAACCCCTGTCTCACATACACCATTATAACATACCCAAACCCTATCTCACACACGCCCTTATAACATACCACAACCCCTATCTCACGCATGCCATTATAACAAACCACAACCCCTATCTCCCACACGCCCTTATAACAAACCACAACCCCTGTCTCACATACACCATTATAACATACCCAAACCCTATCTCACACACGCCCTTATAACATACCACAACCCCTATCTCACGCATGCCATTATAACATACCACAACCCCTGTCTCACACACCATTATAACATACCCAAACCCTATCTCACACACGCCCTTATAACATACCACAACCCCTATCTCACACATGCCATTATAACAAACCACAACCCCTATCTCACACACGCCCTTATAACATACCACAACCCCTATCTCACGCATGCCATTATAACAAACCACAACCCCTATCTCACACACGCCCTTATAACAAACCACAACCCCTATCTCACATACACCATTATAACATACCACAACCCCTATCTCTCACAAATCATTATAACATACCCAAACCCCTATCTCACACACGCCCTTATAACAAACCACAACCCCTATTTCCCACACGCCATTATAACATACCACAACCCCTATCTCTCACACACCATTATAACATACCCAAACCCTATCTCACACACGCCCTTATAACATACCAAAACCCCTATTTCCCACACGCCATTATAATATACCACAACCCCTATCTCTCACACACCATTATAACATACCCAAACCCTATCTCACACACGCCCTTATAACATACCACAACCCCTGTCTCACATACACCATTATAACATACCACAACCCCTATCTCACGCATGCCATTATAACAAACCACAACCCCTATCTCTCACAAATCATTATAACATACCACAACCCCTATCTCTCACACGCCATTATAACATACCCAAACCCTATCTCACACACGACATTATATTATACCACAACCCCTATCTCACATACACCATTATAACATACCACAACCCCTGTCTCACATACACCATTATAACACACCCAAACCCTATCTCACACACGCCCTTATAACAAACAACAACCCCTATTTCCCACACGCCATTATAACATACCACAACCCCTATCTCCCACACGCCATTATAACATACCACAACCCCTGTCTCACACACGCCCTTATAACAAACCACAACCCCTATTTCCCACACGCCATTATAACATACCACAACCCCTATCTCCCACACGCCATTATAACATACCACAACCCCTGTCTCACATACACCATTATAACATACCCAAACCCTATCTCACACACGCCCTTATAATAAACCACAACCCCTATTTCCCACACGCCATTATAACATACCACAACCCCTATCTCCCACACGCCATTATAACATACCACATCCCCTATCTCACACACGCCCTTATAACATACCACAACCCCTGTCTCACATACACCATTATAACATACCCAAATCCTATCTCACACACGCCCTTATAACAAACCACAACCCCTATTTCCCACACGCCATTATAACATACCACAACCCCTATCTCCCACACGCCATTATAACATACCACAAACCCTATCTCCCACACGCCATTATAACATACCACACCCTATATCACCCACACGCCATTATAACATACCACAACCCCTATCTCCCACACGCCTATATAACATACCACAACCCCTATCTCCAACACGCCATTATAACATACCACAACCCCTATCTCACGAACGCCATTATAACATACCACAACCCCCATCTCCCACACGCCATTATAACATACCACAACCCCTATCTCACACACGCCATTATAACATACCAAAACCCCTATCTCACGCACGCCATTATAACATACCACAACCCCCATTTCACACACGCCCTTATAACATACCAAAACCCCTATCTCACACACGCCATTATAACATACCACAACCCCTATCTCACGCACGCCATTATAACATACCACAACCCCTATCTCAGGCACACCATAATAACATACCACAACCCCTATCTCCCACACGCCATTATACCACAACTCCTTTCTCACACACACCCTTATAACATATCACAACCCCTATCTCCCACAGGCCATTATAACAAACCACAACCCTATCTCACACACGCCCTTATAACATACCACAACCCCTATCTCACGCACGCCATTATAACATACCACAACCCCTATCTCACACAAGCCATTATAACATACCACAACCCCTATCTCACACAGGCCATTATAACAAACCACAACCCCTATTTCCCACACGCCATTATAACATACCACAACCCCTATCTCCCACACGCCCTTATAACATACCACAAACCCTATCTCCCACACGCCATTATAACAAACCACAACCCCTATCTCACACACGCCATTATAACATACCACAACCCCTATCTCCCACACGCTATTATAACATACCACAACCCCTATCTCACACACGCCATTATAACATACCACAACCCCTATCTCACACACGCCATTTTAACATACCACAACCCCTATCTCCCACACGCCATTATAACAAACCACAACCCCTATCTCACACATGGCATTATAACATACCACAACCCCCAATCTCATTAAAATCAGATCTTAGTTCTCGCTACCGCTTAACAAAGATCTGAAGACATCCCATTACAGGTCACGTCAGACCTACCTTGCGCAAACTTTGACCGATCAATGGAATGACTGACAAGAAGTCGACATTAGCCAATCAGAAGGCAGCTTTCTCGTGCTTTACGGCACTAATTTCAAATTGGCGACTACGCCTCGAAACATATTTTGACAAATTCTAAATTTAAAATTTGAAACCTGAACAAAAGAACATTCTCGAATGGCTAATAGATGGTCTAGATTGTATGGATTCAGTGGTTAAGCCCGTAAATATCGTTCGGAATACCCCGTGTTAAAATTTTCGAGGCTGCATGATGAGAAATCACATTCCGACTGTCACTTTCATGATCTGGTAAGTGACGCTCTGATTGGTCGGATGAAAGGTCGTTCTGACATGACCCCTAATGGGATGTCCTCAGATCTTTGTTTAGCGGTAGCAAGAACTAAGATCTGATTTTCTTTGTTTAGCAGTAGCGAGAACTAAGATCTGATTTTAATGAGATTGCCACAACCCTTATCTCACACACGCCATTATAACATACCACAACCCCTATCTCCCACACGCCCTTATAACATACCACAACCCCTATCTCACACACGCCCTTATAACATACCACAACCCCTATCTCCCACACGCCCTTATAACATACCACAACCCCTATCTCACACACGCCATTATAACATACCACAACCCCTATCTCCCACACGCCCTTATAACATACCACAACCCCTATCTCACACACGCCCTTATAACATACCACAACCCCTATCTCTCACACGCCCTTATAACATACCACAACCCCTATCTCACACACGCCATTATCACTGATAATATTTCTTATGATATTAAGACCCGTGAAGACCCGGGTTAGAATAGGTCTTAAGCAACCCATGCTTGCCATAACAGGCGACTACATGTATGCTTGTCGAAAGAGGCGACTAACAGGATCGGGTCGTCAGGCTTGCTGACTTGGTTGATGCATGTCATTGTATCCCAATTGCGTAGATCAATGCTCATAATATCAATCACTGGATTGTCTGGTCCAGACTCGATTACTTACAGACCGCCGTCATATAGCTGGAATAAAACAACAAACAAACAAACAAATATGATAGTAAGTGTCAAATTGATTGAGGTGCTCCTATAATGTTAACCTCGGTAGAGACCTTGATGTGGAGTGACCTCCCTTTGTTGTTCTTGATCAAACTCCGACCCAGCCATGACACCTTCCTTAGCCTTCTGGTATAATGGGCTCTGATGTGAGGAGATTGTCTACAGCCTGTTTTCACTTCTGGAAATGACGACCTGGTTCTCGATGAAGAAAACTCTAGAATGCTGGCTGTACCTTTAAACGTGCGAGATAAGGCGATTCGAGGCCTTTCTTCTGCGACCTGACTTGAGTCTATCTATTTGCACAATTCAGACAGGATAGCTATTGGAAAACACAGACTTTTCGGCCTGCTTCCAACACTCATTCCTGGATTTAAAGACAAAGCACATGCTTGACTCAAGACATTCAAATGTGACAAATGCCGACTATATTACTAAGCCCTGATATATATTATTGTATATTGTTGCTGCGACAATAGTGACCATTGTATTGCCTTTTGATAATGTAATCCGTATCCTGTGTATTTATATATAATTTGTTGTTGTTCATTGAGCTTGTGTGGTTATTTACTGATTTCACAATCTAATTCTGTATGTACTCATTTCTGGGTTAACCTTCGCGCTTCAGTTTTGGAATAAACTGGTAAGAGCACACAATGAGCAAGAGGATACTAGAGTTTGGGTCGTGTGTTGTACCAGGCGATGATCCTGTTGGCCTCCCTCAAACCAGAGGATCTGGCGCCGTGCATGGTAGAGAAGAAGGACGGATGAGTTGCCTCCCCTGCAAACAGGATCCGGGGAACTTGGTCTGAAGTACACACTGGCTGCAGAAGGTGTGGGACGAGGCTCCAGGGATCGGATGTTGTGGGGTAGCTGTAAGAGCCACATATGTAGGGGTTGTCGCTCCACCCTGACCGACACACCCGGGTGGGGGAAGGCAGACATGGATTACCTAAAAATGATTTCAAGATGTTTGAGCAAACGTCGGCTACTTCTTGTAACGGCAAACGTTCCATGTAGGCCACCTCGGCCCCCGACAACCAAGCCACCAGCACACCAGGGTTATTGAGCACCTCATCAAAAGCGAATATTTTCTTGTACCATTCCTCCTTTCCCTTAAGTCGTGATTCATGTCCTTGCCAGCACAACTTGATACCCCCGTGTCCTCGTACCCAGAAAGGTGTTTTGTAGTACAGGAATATTTTGCCAACAATACCGAAGCCGATATTTTCAATGGCATGGACCTTGTGACGAGGTAGCGGTGGTGAGAAGAGAGTGTGGTGCTGGCGCTTGAGGAAGCCTAGAGAGCAGGTTACTATCACATGGTCTGCCACAACCTGACTTCCATTCCTACACGTGACTTCCACATTAGGTGTCAGTCCTGATGTGTTCAGACGAATGTTGGTCACTTCTGTGTTACACTGCACTGTGCCTTGGGGCAGGGTGTGGAGCATGGCATTTAGGATGGATGCACATCCACGAGGCAGTTTCACTTCGCCACCTGGCAGCTCTTCGTACAGGGATATCAAGTGTGTATCTGTGTCATCCAAGAAGCCGCCGTTATGAAACCGCACCAGGTTTAACAGACAGTTCATGACCGCCCGAGCATCTTCTTGCTCTTGTGTTTCAAACAAGACCATAGCCTTCTCCAATTTGTTGTTGAACCAGGATTCCAGGGGGAGCCCAAGTCCGTCACTACCTCGACTAGACAATCCTTGCAAGTCTCTTTCTATAGCTTGGTATACGGTCCAAACTCGATTGGTCAGGTGAGGGTCAATGACACGGCCATCTGACGTGTAACAGTAGCCTTCCATCCTGCAACACACAAGAACAGAATGCTAGGCTTGTTACATTGACCATGGTTATGCAAAAACATACATTGATATACTTTTTTATTACTTGCCCGTGAAGAGATCACCTGTTTAATAAACATACAGCTGTATTACACATTGTATAATACCAAAACGCGTGCTTATGTACTCTCGGAACACATGTGTTTGATGTGGGAGGTGGTGTGTTTGACTTGGGTGGTGGTGTGTTTGATGAGGGAGGAGGTGTGTTTGATGTGGGAGGTGGTGTGTTAGATGTGCGAGGTGGTGTGTTAGATGTGGGAGGTGGTGTGTTAGATGTGGGAGGTGATGTGTTTGATGTGGGAAGTGATGTGTTTGATGTGGGAAGTGATATGTTTGATGTGGGAGGTGCTGTGTTTGATGTGGGAGGTGCTGTGTTTGATGAGGGAGGAGGTGTGTTTCATGTGGGAGGTGGTGTGTTTGATGTGGGAGGTGCTGTGTTTGATGAGGGAGGAGGTGTGTTTGATGTGGGAAGTGATGTGTTTGATGTGGGAAGTGATGTTTTTGATGTGGGAAGTGATATGTTTGATGTGGGAGGTGCTGCGTTTGATGTGGGAGGTGCTGTGTTTGATGAGGGAGGAGGTGTGTTTCATGTGGGAGGTGGTGTGTTTGATGTGGGAGGTGCTGTGTTTGATGAGGGAGGTGATGTGTTTGATGTGGGAAGTGATGTGTTCCATGTGGAAAGTGATGTGGGAGGTGCTGTGTTTGATGAGGGAGGAGGTGTGTTTCATGTGGGAGGTGGTGTGTTTGATGTGGGAGGTGCTGTGTTTGATGAGGGAGGTGGTGTGTTAGATGTGGGAGGTGCTGTGTTTGATGAGGGAGGTGGTGTGTTTGATGTGGGAGGAGGTGTGTTTGATGTGGGAAATAATGTGTTTGATGTGGGAGGTGATGTGTTTGATGTGGGAGGTGATGTGTTTGATGTAGCAGGTGGTGTGTTAGATGTATGAGGTGGTGTGTTTGATGTGGGAGGTGCTGTGTTTGATGAGGGAGGTGGTGTGTTTGATGTGGGAGGAGGTGTGTTTGATGTGGGAAAAAATATGTTTGATGTGGGAGGTGATGTGTTTGATGTGGGAGGTGATGTGTTTGATGTAGCAGGTGGTGTGTTAGATGTATGAGGTGGTGTGTTTGATGTGGGAGATGGTGTGTTTGATGTTAGAGGTGGTGTGTTTGATGTGGGAGGTGATGTGTTTGATGTAGCAGGTGGTGTGTTAGATGTGTGAGGTGGTGTGTTTGATGTGTGAGGTGGTGTGTTTAATGTGTGAGGTGGTGTGTTTGATGAGGGAGGAGGTGTGTTTGATGTGGGAAGTGATGTGTTTGATGTGGAAGGTAGTGTGTTGGATGTGGGAGGTAGTGTGTTTGATGTGGGAGGTGGTGTGCTTGATCTTTGAGCTGGTGTGTTAGATGTGGGAGATGGTGTTGTATATGTGGGAAGTGATGTGTTTGATGTGAGAAGCAATGTGTTTGATGTGGGAGGTGATGTGTTTCATGTGTGAGGTGGTGTGTTTGATGTGGGAGGTGGTGTTGTTGACGTGGGAGGTGGTGTGTTTGATGTGGGAGTTTATGTGTTTGATGTGGGAGATGGTCTGTTTGATGTGGGAGGTGGTGTATTTGATGTGGGAGGTGGTGTTGTATATGTTGGAGGTGGTGTGTTTGATGAGGGAGATGGTGTGTTTGATGTTGGAGGTAGTGTGTATGATGTGGGAGGTGGTGTGTTTGATTAGGGAGGAGGTGTGTTTGATGTGGAAGGTGGTGTGTTTGATGTGGGAGGTGGTGTTGTTGATGTGGGAGGTGGTGTGTTTGATGTGGAAGGTGGTGTGTTTGATGTGGGAGATGGTGTTGTATATGTTGGAGGTGGTGTGTTTGATGAGGGAGGTGGTGTGTTTGATGTTGGAGGTAGTGTGTTTGATGTGGGAGGTGGTGTGTTTGATGAGGGAGGAGGTGTGTTTGATGTGGGAGATGGTGTGTTTGATGTGGAAGGTGGTGTGTTTGATGTGGGAGGTGGTGTTGAAACCTGTCCTTTGTTTAATTGTCATACCTGTCAAGCAACACATATGGGTACAGTAAATTGTTTTGCGCAGCCAATGTAAAGACGGAGTTGGAAAGCGTTGCTCCATGGATCCAGTTCGCTCCAAGTTCCACAATGCCCTCCCCAAATACCATGGTCTTCATACGCCCTCCACATCTACAACATCAGTAAACACATGCATAACGTCTAGTCACTCAGTTTCAAGCTGTGACTGCTATAGTTTATTTCCAAAACATGTGATAGTAGGTATAGAGCACAGATCGACAAAGTGTTGAATATATTGCATGCTAGTCTGTTGACTATACTTACTCGTCCAAAGAGTGTCCGAAAACAAACTTTGATCTTGATGACCTGGTCATCACGTATATACTCAGACATGGAGAAGAAATGGAAGGAGTTTTGTTCAGTGTTTGAAGGCACACTCAACTGTATGAAGGCGGCATATAAGAAATCAAGTCTCTACAAGACAAACCAGTGATAAAAAGTATGAGCAGTGCCATCCGAGTATGATGACATGCAATCAATCAAGTCACCGAGCCTGCCCACACGATCCACTGAACTGCCTTGTACGACAAGCACAGGTGGTAACCCGGAATTACCACGGCATGAACAGAGGGCGTACTTGGCGGCTTTACATAGCAGGACGACAGTCGTACACAGCTGACGGGACAACAGCCGTACACAACAGACAGGGCCACGACCTAATACAATAGACAGGGTGACAGCCTTACACAACAGACAGGGTGACAGCATTATACAACAGACAGGGTGACGACCTTATACAACAGACAGGGTGACTGCCTTATACAACAGACAGGGTGACAGCATTGTACAACAGACAGGGTGACGGCCTCATACAACGGACAGGGTGACAGGCCTATACAACGGACAGGGTGACGGCCTTAATACAACAGACAGGGTGACGGCCTTAATACAACAGACAGGGGGACAGCCTTATACAACAGACGGGATGGCAGCCTTAATACAACAGACAGGGTGACAGCCTTATACAACAGACAGGGTGAGGACCTTATACAACAGACAGGGTGACAGCCTTATACAACAGACAGGGTGACAGCCATATACAACAGACAGGGTGACAGCCGTATACAACAGACAGGGTGACAGCCATATACAACAGACAGGGTGACAGCCGTATACAACAGACAGGGTGACAGCCTTATACAACAGACAGGGTGACAGCCTTATACAACAGACAGGGTGACATCCTTATACAACAGACAGGGTGACAGCCATATACAACAGACAGGGTGACAGCCTTATACAACAGACAGGGTGACAGCCGTATACAACAGACAGGGTGAGGACCTTATACAACAGACAGGGTGACAGCCTTATACAACAGACAGGGTGAGGACCTTATACAACAGACAGGGTGACAGCCATATACAACAGACAGGGTGACAGCCTTATACAACAGACAGGGTGACAGCCATATACAACAGACAGGCAGACAGCCTTATACAACAGACAGGGTGACAGCCATATACAACAGACAGGGTGACAGCCGTATACAACAGACAGGGTGACAGCCATATACAACAGACAGGGTGACAGCCTTATACAACAGACAGGGTGACAGCCATATTCAACAGACAGGGTGACAGCCTTATACAACAGACAGGGTGACAGCCTTATACAACAGACAGGGTGAGAGCCATATACAACAGACAGGGTGACAGCCGTATACAACAGACAGGGTGACAGCCATATACAACAGACAGGGTGACAGCCATATACAACAGACAGGGTGACAGCCGTATACAACAGACAGAGTGGGGCCTTATACAACAGACAGGGTGACAGCCTTATACAACAGACAGAGTGGGGCCTTATACAACAGACAGGGTGAAAGCCTTAATACAACAGACAGGGTGACAGCCTTATACAACAGACAGGGTTAGGACCTTATACAACAGACAGGGTGACAGCCTTATACAACAGACAGAGTGGGGCCTTATACAACAGACAGGGTGACAGCCTTATACAACAGACAGGGTGAAAGCCTTATACAACAGACAGGGTGACAGCCTTATACAACAGACAGAGTGACAGCCTTATACAACAGACAGGTTGACAGCCGTATACAACAGACAGGGTGACAGCCTTATACAACAGACAGGGTGACAGCCTTATACAACAGACAGGTTGACAGCCGTATACAACAGACAGGTTGACAGCCTTATACAACAGACAGGGTGACAGCCATATACAACAGACAGGGTGACAGCCTTATACAACAGACAGGGTGACAGCCGTATACAACAGACAGGGTGACAGCCTTATACAACAGACATGGTGACAGCCATATACAACAGACAGGATGACAGCCATATACAACAGACAGGGTGACAGCCTTATACAACAGACAGGGTGACAGCCGTATACAACAGACAGGGTGACAGCCTTATACAACAGACAGGGTGACAGCCATATACAACAGACAGGGTGACAGCCTTATACAACAGACAGGGTGACAGCCTTATACAACAGACAGGATGACAGCCATATACAACAGACAGGGTGACAGCCTTATACAACAGACAGGGTGACAGCCTTATACAACAGACAGGGTGACAGCCTTATACAACAGACAGAGTGGGGCCTTATACAACAGACAGGGTGAAAGCCTTATACAACAGACAGGGTGACAGTCTTATACAACAGACAGGGTGACAGCCTTATACAACAGACAGGGTGACGGCCTTAATACAACAGACAGGGTGACTGCCTTATACAACAGACAGGGTGACTGCATTATACAACAGACAGGGTGACAGCCTGATACAACAGACAGGGTGACAGCCGTATACAACAGAGTGGGGCCTTATACAACAGACAGGGTGACAGCCTTATACAACAGACAGGGTGACAGCCTTATACAACAGACAGGGTGACAAACTTATACAACAGACAGGGTGCCAGCCTTCTATAACAGACAGGGTGGGGCCTTATACAACAGACGGGATGGCAGCCTTTCACAACGGACAGGATGGCGGCCTTATACAACAGACAGGGTGACAGCCTTATACAACAGACAGGGTGACAGCCGTATACAACAGACAGGGTGACAGCTTTATACAACAGACAGGGGGAGAGCCTTATACAACAGACATGATGGCAGCCTTATACAACAGACAGGGTGACAGCCTTATACAACAGACAGGGTGACATCCTTATACAACAGACAGGGTGACAGCCGTATACAACAGACAGGGTGACAGCCTCATACAACAGACAGGGTGACAGCCTTATACAACAGACAGGGTGACAGCCGTATACAACAGACAGAGTGGGGCCTTATACAACAGACAGGGTGACAGCCTTATACAACAGACAGGGTGACAGCCTTATACAACAGACAGGGTGACAGCCGTATACAACAGACAGGGTGACAACCTTATACAACAGACAGGGGGACAGCCGTATTCAACAGACAGGGTGATAGCCTTATACAATAGACAGGGGGAGAGCCTTATACAACAGACAGGGGGACAGCCGTATTCAATAGACAGGGTGACAAACTTATACAACAGACAGAGTGCCAGCCTTATATAACAGACAGGGTGGGGCCTTATACAACAGACGGGATGGCAGCCTTTTACAACGGACAGGGTGGCGGCCTTATACAACAGACAGGGTGACAGCCTTATACAACAGACAGGGTGACAGCCTTATACAACAGACAGGGTGACAGCCTTATACAACAGACAGGGTGACATCCTTATACAACAGACAGGGTGACAGCCATATACAACAGACAGGGTGACAGCCTTATACAACAGACAGGGTGACAGCCGTATACAACAGACAGGGTGAGGACCTTATACAACAGACAGGGTGACAGCCTTATACAACAGACAGGGTGAGGACCTTATACAACAGACAGGGTGACAGCCATATACAACAGACAGGGTGACAGCCTTATACAACAGACAGGGTGACAGCCATATACAACAGACAGGGTGACAGCCTTATACAACAGACAGGGTGACAGCCATATACAACAGACAGGGTGACAGCCGTAAACAACAGACAGGGTGACAGCCATATACAACAGACAGGGTGACAGCCTTATACAACAGACAGGGTGACAGCCATATTCAACAGACAGGGTGACAGCCTTATACAACAGACAGGGTGACAGCCTTATACAACAGACAGGGTGACAGCCTTATACAACAGACAGGGTGACAGCCGTATACAACAGACAGGGTGACAGCCATATACAACAGACAGGGTGACAGCCATATACAACAGACAGGGTGACAGCCGTATACAACAGACAGAGTGGGGCCTTATACAACAGACAGGGTGACAGCCTTATACAACAGACAGAGTGGGGCCTTATACAACAGACAGGGTGAAAGCCTTAATACAACAGACAGGGTGACAGGCTTATACAACAGACAGGGTTAGGACCTTATACAACAGACAGGGTGACAGCCTTATACAACAGACAGAGTGGGGCCTTATACAACAGACAGGGTGACAGCCTTATACAACAGACAGGGTGAAAGCCTTAATACAACAGACAGGGTGACAGCCTTATACAACAGACAGAGTGGGGCCTTATACAACAGACAGGGTGACAGCCTTATACAACAGACAGGGTGAAAGCCTTATACAACAGACAGGGTGACAGCCTTATACAACAGACAGAGTGACAGCCTTATACAACAGACAGGTTGACAGCCGTATACAACAGACAGGGTGACAGCCTTATACAACAGACAGGGTGACAGCCTTATACAACAGACAGGTTGACAGCCGTATACAACAGACAGGTTGACAGCCTTATACAACAGACAGGGTGACAGCCATATACAACAGACAGGGTGACAGCCTTATACAACAGACAGGGTGACAGCCGTATACAACAGACAGGGTGACAGCCTTATACAACAGACAGGGTGACAGCCATATACAACAGACAGGATGAATGCCATATACAACAGACAGGGTGACAGCCTTATACAACAGACAGGGTGACAGCCGTATACAACAGACAGGGTGACAGCCTTATACAACAGACAGGGTGACAGCCATATACAACAGACAGGGTGAAAGCCTTATACAACAGACAGGGTGACAGCCTTATACAACAGACAGGGTGACAGCCTTATACAACAGAC